CTACGACGACGTTCTGAAATACGACTATCATAACAAACACCCAACAACCCAAGTACTCGAACCTTTTTCCTGCATATCCTCCTTTACTTTGGCTATGTGTGCCATAAGCGGGTTATAGTATCTAAGGAGTAAATGTAAACGACGAAGCAACGTCGCAAATCCTGACTTCTTTTTCACTTTAGGATCCAACGAGGCGCTGAGCCAGGGAAGTAAAATAATCAAAAAAATTGCACCAGCCTGAGAAATGAATATGATAGAAACTCATCAGTAGGAACACGACAGACCTTTTTCCATTTCTTGTCAACGATAGCTGTGGCGAGCAGAGGCCCCAAGAGCTGCCCCAACAGACTAGCCAGCCAGGCCCTTTTGGCAGGGTGAGGCATGTATAGCTCAGCGACATTCAATGTGCCTATGAAAAACAATATCCTACATTGCAAAGTGTCTGACATGTAACTACCAGCTTGGGAGTAGGCGAAAAACATCTGTGCCATGATGCCTACTATACCATTGGTCATAAGAGGTCTACGACCTGATCTAATGACTAGGAACATCATCAATACTACGGGCACTGTATGGACCTGAGCTGGGAACCTCATTCTACTTTACAACCTCGTCTTCTGAGCCCACCCAGTGGTCCATAGCCGCGAATTGGAGTTTGGTCAACTTAACGCCTCTAAGAGCCATCTTTTGCCTCATCATTTCCGTCAAGCCTCTAGCTCCAGCAGTGCGGAAGGCCATACACACACCGAAGCTATTCGATAGCAGAAAAGGATCCTAAACAGTAGTAGCAACTAGAGTCCCACCAGCCAGTATCACACACTCACCCATTGCTCTTGCCTTAGTAGTATTCTCGATACTATCAGAACCCAATTCCAAGATGTATAAGCTTGGAGGTTCTTTCGAAGGAACTTGTTGTTGATAACCTCACTACTGCCTATAAGCACCTCCCATAGTAGAGGGTATTCACAGAAAAAGGCTTACCAGTTAAAGCGAGGTAGATAGCACATCCAAGGGCAATGTTAAGGCGGTCACCAGGGACGAGCTGAAAGGGTATCACAGAGGGCTGTCGATCAGACATACGTCCCATCT